CAGAGCCAGCCTTGACCAAATTAGTTTCCTTTTGAACTCCAGAAACACCACTTGCTAACAATCCATTACTTGACCTTCGATTGCGGGAAGAACCACCAGAGGTCTTGTTAGCACTCATTGACCCAGCAGTAGAACTCCTTGCATCTTCTTCCACGAAGAACTCATTATCTTAGCATGATCACTTGAGCAAGACTGACTATTGTTCTGGGACTGACTGGAACTGCTACTCTTCTCCTCTTTCACTGTTGCCAGTGGCAAATCTGATTTCCACTGCCACCAGCTCATTTGCCTGGTTAATCCTTCAAGCTAATTGACACAGAAGCAGACAAAGATGCCGATGACAGCAATTTCAGAGATCCTTGTGCTACCGGTGTGGACTTCACAATAGCATCAGCATGACCAGGTTTACCAACTACAGTTCTATGTGTAGATGTCTGAGTGCCAGGGGGCTTTGTAATTGTTTCAACCGACCCAGACCGCTTGCCTCCTCCATGAGACTTCAGAAAACCCTTGTTTTCCGGGTCATGTCATAGCTTGATTAGATCCACCAGATTTTGCATCATTGATCTTTGTCATTTCCGCGTCGACACTTTTCTTCCAAATGTCAACAAGGCTCCGTGCCTTCTTCTGGATTTCAAGGTTTCTATGAGTTCTCAAGTGATTCACCGACTTGCCAATGTTACAAGTATGTAAAGCATTAAGATTAACAGGTAACTTATCAAGTGCTCGAAGCAGAGCCAATAGTAGCTCCTCGGTGCTTTTATCACTTTCCTTAGGACTACTCTCATCACCAGTTTTACCTTTGTGGGCCTCCTGAAGCCAATCATCCAAAACAGGCACACCCCTAAGCTGAACAAACCTACCGAGGCATTCAATTCTATCAGTAGAAGATGCAATCACATCTGCAAACAATATCCTACCAGACAAATCAAATTTTTCTCTCATTCTTATCCAGTTGCATAAGATGCACCAGCTTGTTAACACATTCTGTAGTTATTAGCGACCCTTTTTCTGCTATTTTTGCAATCTCAGCTTTTGCCATATTGTCGAGTCTAGAACTGGCAGATTCACCATCCTCCAGCTTAGTAGGATGTTCTTGCTTAATAGGTTTTGTTCCCTGATCACCCCTCTCTCCCTCTTCTTTCCCTTAACCTGTGCAGGGAAGGAACTGCTACTATTCTGCAGACTCTCAGTATCTGATTTTAACTGCTGAGTTGATGTTGGACCATTCAATGGTTTTGGAGAACGATCTCCTGATTGCACTGTTGCATGCATTTCTAGTCGGGTCTTGTCCAATAAATGATCTACTTCTTCCTGTCGCTCCTGGGAAATTAAAAGAGAGACAAGAAAACACTGTGTATTGTGAATATAATCTTAATAAAGCAACAGCTACTGCAACCACTCAAAAAAAATTAAAATAAAAAAAACTCACGTTGATATAATCCTGGTTTGTTAACCACCATAAACACTTGTTTGCAATGTCATACACTCGCCTCGCCTACACACAAATGATGACACCCCTGGTGGAAGTTCAACACCCCTGCGGAGGAAAGCAACTTTACACGGATGAAGCAATGAAGCAGCGGATATCACGTCTTGGTGGAATGAATAAAAAACTTTGTTTGGTGCTGCTTCTAATAGTATGCCTTTCACGAGCTTGATGTCAGCAGGTCGATAAAGCCAATTTACCTTGTCTGTTGTGAACCACCGTATGATTCCAATAAAAGATGGGGCATTGCCAGCCTGAAAAAGTGCACAATCACCTGTACAAATCTTGCGACCGTCCTGCAAAATAAGAATAATTTGAGAACACATGCAGAGTAATAATTATTTGCTCATGATGCAAAATAAATCCACACTTCAGGCAAGGGTAAAAACCAACAAATAATAGCAACGGTGCCCGAGGTCAGGACTGATAAGGAATATTCTCAGCAAGCTAGAAGAAAGTCCTGACAATAAGCATAATTTTTACAAGGTTAACTTGAATATAGTTGTCTGTGCCCCTAGGGAGTAGCAAGTGGGAACCTGCAATGGAATTCTCTTCCTCAAGCCCATTTTGAAGCGGTTCCAAAAAGTATACCCATTATAGCTCTTTCTTTCGTTTACCAGGTAAAAGAAAACTTACGCTCATATGCCATTTTTTAATATTTGAAACTCTACTCATTTTTCTGTACTTCAGAATGTAGTTCCAGTTCTTTGCACAAACCTTGAGGGGAATTTGTCAAAAGTAAGGTGAGAAATATCTGTGTACCTCATATGTGAACAAATCACTTTTTCCTATGTTCAGAATAATTTTTATGCAAACTTTTATTATGAATCTCAAGATAATTAAAGCCTTATTACCAAAAAAGAAACTATATTCAGAAATTTAAAAAATTTATTTTATTTAACTCATTATAATTTGTATCTGCAGGACTTCCATTGTCCTTGGAACAGCTATTCCACTTATTCTATTTCTTGTATGGGATGCTGTAATTCTTAGAACCATTTCAAGTCTTCACACAAACAGTGGCAGAGTCATTGACCCTTTAGAACTGTTACGATCAAACAACGGAATAGTTGGAGTAAGTTTATCATTATTAAGTCTTGGTTCATTTCCCTTCGAGTTGACTTCTATATCAATGAAATTAAACTAATGGTTGAATATTTCCGTAATGTGCAGCCAATTGTTGAGTTGTTCTCATTCCTTGCGATAGGCACATCATACATTGGATTTGTTTTAGGGCTTTCAGACTTTGTTTCTGACTGTAAGTAGCTCCTCTTTCTTTAGTTATATAATAAATTATCAATAAATGCTTGCCTATATATAGCTTCGATATTTTATTTACATTTTTCTTCCGTTCTTGCTTCCCTTTGAGGTAATTGCAGTGCTTAAGTTACCAAGTTGTCAGAGCAAACCTTTGCCATTTCTATTAACTTTGGTTCCTCCTCCGTATTATCGTTGCTTGATCCAGAGATTTTCTTCAAAGCCTTAGATTTTGCCGGAACTTACGGAGGTAACACATCTGTTATGTTTTTAAGTAGACACATCATGCAAAGCATTAAAATTGATGAATATAACACAAAAATTTACCTCAAATATTTTCACAGATTTTAGCGGTGATATTTTAGGGTCTCCGATGGTTCGTACTATTTTACCTGTACTCTATTTAAAGAAAGAAAGTAAGCCTTGTAAATTAAACACTGTAAACCAAAACATGAGCGTATTGTAACTATAACTTCAGTAAAATTTGAGGGAAAAGCAGGTATATAACAAGAAAAACAACAATGACAACAATTAGTAGACAAATAAATCAAATGCAAGTCACAAAACAGAGGCTAGACACAACAAATTAGTCTTTATGTTTTTTTGGGGGAAGACATTATCAAGTAAAATATCTGCAGACACTCATTTAGGTGAAAAAAGAATCTATCAAAAGATTCATGATAGGGAGTGGTCAATAAAACTCTTATCTCATCAGACAGCAGATTCTCAGATACAATCATTAACATGAATGTGTAATTTTGCTATGTATATAACTCATGATGAAAGAGGGGGCAACAAATCTCTTAAGAGTCGCAGGAGTCGGTGGAAATTTTTCTGATTAGTCAATCATACAATTGCCAGGGAACGTGCAAATGCATGCAAACCAAATTGAATGAATTTCATGACTCAAATGCATTAGTCCATAGTATTTATTTATCTCGTGTGATACCAATAATAGCTTATGATTTTAGAACAAAACCCATATGCAAAGTACAATAATTTTGTTAACAAATATAATTCTTTTCCACAACAACAATGGAATATCAATATTCTAGCCTCTTTTTCAAAGGAAAAACCTGATTAAATGAAAAGTACAAGCATAAAATCAAGGAAATATGGGAAATGACAGTTGGTCAACATCGCCAAAGTTTATTTGATATTGAAAGGAAACTACAACCACATATAAAGTATTTGCCAATCAAATTCATTTCATCTCTACAAATTATGTACTTCAACCATAAGCTGAAGTATATATATTGACTTCCAACAGTAAGCTCAATACAAAATCATCGCTCACAACCCTTTTTTACAATTACAGAGGCCTACCAAGGAAAAGAATCCAAATATACCATACGAAAATCAACCAATTTCTTGTGAAACCAAATAGCCTTAAAAACTTTTAAATGTATCCAAGTTCCTAGCTACAATAACTTAGAGCAAGCAATAAAAATATAAAATTCCTAATTGTGCTTTAAAAAAGGGTGCGCTAAATGCGCTAATACAAATCCAACAGCAGATAAAACTAAAGACAACATAAAAGTATAGTTACAACAACAGCGGCAAAGAAAGTAATCTGACAAGAAGAATGTAATAATGTTAACACCTGCTGAAGCTGTCCTGAAGATCTAACCAAACTGCTAGTAAACTCATGCAAATTATATTTATAATTGCAACATATAACTATAACTAAAATCATAAGGATAAAATAGAGTCGAAGATATTTGGGAATAACAGCTCTATTGTACTTGCATCGGTAGAGATAATTCAGGCATCATTTGAGTAGAAGCATTGTGAACAGCAAGTTAAGTGAAAACAAGTAAAATTACTGAGCAGGAGGTTTGCCTTACAAGTTTAACCTTTATTAATACACACACTAATTAGTGAGATGTTAAATATTTATCTCAAATAAGGAATTTCAAGTGCGAGAAAGATGCTTCTACACCAAAAAGCCCTACTTCAACAAATGCCCATGGAAAATTATCAGAACCAAGTTTGATTGCAAATACACAATAAAATATTTATGCATCAAAAAACTAATTTGTTCTGAGAATGCCACAACAAGGAAGTGCTATGATGGTGAGTAAATACACGAGCAATTTAGAGTCAATCAATCTCACTTGCTAAAGTGGAAAGTGAAACAAAGAAAAAAGAAATAAGATTTAGCATAGGAATTACTGGGGAGAGTCAAAGCGTGTACAAAACAAATAAAATACAGTTTTTAAAAACAATGCAAATAAGCACATAAGTACCAAAAAAATAGCAATTAACAGAAAAAAGAAGAGTGACCCATGTTACCTTGGCGAAGGAAGATCTTAGCTGATGTCTTTGAAGGGGGAGCGATCTTCTCCACCAAAACCCTGTTGAGCGCAGGAATCAAATGGGAAAGAAAAAAATTGTTGAAAGAACCAATAATCAACTTACTTTCTGATATAATTGCAGGAAATTGAGAAATGTGCATGTAAGTTCCAGTACCCATAGCCATGCCCAGTCCTCATTATGGCCATGTTTCTGGGTAATCGGAGCCCAGATAAGTTCCACTAATTAATCCCTGGAGATGCTACCTTTTTCTCAAATTAAAAAAAATCAAAAAAATAACAATTGAATTTTTACCTGATGAAATTGACACAGGAGCAAGATGAAAGACTTGAAGCAAGCCCTAATTCAGACAACCCTCGACCTTGAGTCCACCCATTTAACAAACAATCGTCCCTTGAAACCGTAGGAAATCGAGAAGTAGGGCAAAATTAGAACAAAATGAGAGGTATGAAGAACAAAAAGTTGAGAGGGTGAATTGAGCAGAAATAACGATTCAAATCATACGTAGAATTCGACTGAAATTTAAAAAGAATAGGTAAAATTTAGAAACACCTCTTCAATGAAATTCCTTCCTGACCCTAACCGATCCCAAAATTCTGAGAAATGAGGAGATGATGGCGGAGGCGTGGCGTTGATGATTAGGGCAATAATACTCATCTTTGGAAATTGAAGGGTTATATATATATATATAAAGCTTTAAAAACTTATGAGTATATATGTGCTGCCAAAAAGAAGTGATGATATATTACAGCAAAATAGGTAAAACTTTAGAGTATTTAAAAACAATTAAGCCTAATAAAATTGTTCTGATTAGGGATAATCAATACGGGGTTAATTGCTTAAAAAAGAGGATTGCTATGTCAAATTTTTTGATTGCTTTTTTTTTCACATTTCAATTTTAGTAATCACATCCTCCTTTCACCAAAATCCGTTATCCGCAAGAATATAATTAGTTATTTAATAAGGACAAGCACATTGTAGATTATAATTTTATTATAAGTAGTTACTAATTTCAAGGAAATAGTGTTCATTATTTAATATATTTCAAAGCTAATTACCAATAATAGTACATTCTTTAATAATATTAAAATATGATAATTTCTTAAATTAAATATACTACTAATTTTTTAATAATAATTATTTTATAATATAATAAAATATTTAAAATAAGAGCAAATAGAAATATACTATTAAATACCATTAAGGACTATACTATTATTTGGTAAGTAGTATAATTAATATTTTTTTGATATAATTATTTAATAATTATACAAGTAATATAATTATTTTACTTAAAGTATATTACTTAATAATAGTCTATAAACTAATTTATTAAATTATCATAATAAATAATTATATTAATTTATAGTTGTATTAATTATAATATGCATAATAATTATGGTAAAGTAGTTATAAAAGAGGAGATAATTTATTATAATTATCCTAAATTATGGCTATACTATTATAATTATTTGAAATTATTTTAATGTTGAATGATTATTTAATATATTATAACTATTATAACTATTAAAATAGTTCCAAACCCGAACGCGTACTCAAGATCCGAACCCGCTCCACATTCTCCTTCCATCTTCAAAAAACAAACAAAAACCCCCTAAAACCCTAAATCCCCCAGAGCCCCCACTCGGTGGAGGAGGGCAACGAACAAATTAACGAGGCGAAATCTCCCGATCACGATCGAGTCCAAGGTACCAATCCTTCTCTTCCTCCTTCGAAACCCCCAGTTTTATGTAAAAACGCAGATTTTATGTGCTTAGATTGGGACTTTTATGTACTTTGGTAGCAATGGAGGGGCTAGAACAAGAAGAAGAAGGGGATATTAGGGACCTAGAGCGGTATAAACCTCCAGTTCATATTTCATTCAGAGCAAAACTCATTGAAATTTTGAAGGATTTGCATTCTCCAGAGGTACAGATATACTCCGAAGCTTCGAAGGAGTTTGTAGGTTTGCTAGAGGGGGATTTGGGAGGAGAAGTTCTTCGAGAGTACATCCAGCTGTCCCCTCGATGCTCGGAGATTCTGGAATCGTGGAGGCTTCATCAAGGCAAGCCCGGGATGTTCTACATACTATCCTTAGTTTCAGCTTTACTCGATCACCCGGTCGTGAGGACGAAGTCTGCCGGGATCATCAAGAACATTCATGAGCTCGGAGACTTTTTGTTGACGAAGAAATTGGACGATATTTATACAGAGCTTAATTCGCGAGAGTTTAGGAGGCAGGGAGCGGCGCTGCTGTTACTCTCTTCTATCGTCAAGATTGGTGTGGGTTTAGCTTCGAAGGCCGCTGACGTGTTTGATTTCAAGCTCCCGGTTCTCTCCAAGCTCTCGGGGATTCAGAAGAAGAAGGCAGGCGGAAAGGACGCGAAGCATGGGACGAGACGAAGCGCGACAAGGCCGGCATTTGTTAGGTTCGCCATGTCTTTTATCGAAGCGGGCAATTCAAGGTTGTTGAGATGGATCCTTCAGAAGAGGGAGATTTATTCCGCCGTGTTTCGCGGTCTTGGCAGTGATGACGTTGATACTGTTGTCTATGTTCTTTCTACATTAAGGGATAAGGTTCTCTCGAAGGATTCACTTATTCCTCCTGGGCTGAGGAGTGTTCTCTTTGGGAGCATCACTCTCGAGCAGTTGAGCAACATTTCAGGGAACCCAAAGGCGGGGCCTGCTGCTGATTTGGCACATGAAGTTTTGGTCATGGTGTGTACTGATCCTTGCAATGGGTTGATGCCTAGTATGAACTCCAAGGGGAATCATAAGCGGCTTTTTGATCTTATGAAGAAGTTGAGGGCTACGGAGGCTGCATATCACAAGGAACTGCTTCTGGCTGTTGTGGGGAAGATACCATCTTTATGTGCTGCTTACATGGACGAGTTCCCTTATAATCTTAAGCCACGATCTTCACCATGGTGGTTAGTTTTTTAGTACACTTCCTTTATGTTGCATGTCAAAATTGCGTTTTTTTAGAATATAATTTTCAATTTTTTTGCAGGTTTTCTGCTGTTTCGCTTGCTGCAGACATGATTTCTTCTGTAAACTTTAATACTGTGGTTGCTTCACTCACTTCTCATTCTCTTGACAAACCAACTGTGGACCACCCTGAAGTGCAGAATATATTGAAATGCATCATTCCACGTCCATTCAGTCGGTCATTTATCAGCACAGGTTTGCAACATGCCGATGGCCCTGTAAAGCATGGCACTCTACGAATTGTTTTAGAATCACTCAAGTCATTGGCTGGTCTACTGCTGGAAATTGACAGAACAGTAGAGAGGATGAATGGTAAACGAAATGACACGTCTAGCAAAGTTATATCTTCGTTGGATGGCCCCAGCGTCAATTGTTTCGCTGAACTTGACAAGTGTTTGGGTACTTGTGAAATTAGCAGACCCGCTATTAATGACCTAGAAACCAACAAGTGGGTGTCTGTGAGACAGTTAATTCAGGATGAAGTAAGAGCGATGCTGCCTGAGCCTCAAGTTCTGTTGAAGTTATTATCTTCATCAGGTCAGAAACATTCCAAGCTTCCAGAGAGAGGCTTAAAGAGAGATGCAGATTTGCCTGAAGTTGGTTTAAAAAAAAGGAAACTGAACGATGCAAGTGAGGACATTGATATTATTATAAGTCGAATAGATACTGAAGGCAGTAATGGTACAACTAAGGACTTTGATAAGCTTGAAGCTGAAAATATGATGGAAGAGTTGGATGTGCAGAAGGATGATACGGTGGTAATAGCTGAAATTTGGGGCTTGAGTGAGAAAACGATGATCAGCAGTGAACCAAATAGTATAGAGAATTTCTTCCAGTCCAAGTTGTATGATGCTTTCAAATTCTATATGGTAA